TAACACTATTTTATGTCTATTCCGCGACATGTATACAAAGAGTTAAGTTTTTTGTTATCCTCTAAATACTAGAATTACGACTTTTTTATTAATTTAATAAAATTGACAGATTTTCTCTACATTGATCACTCCATCTCGATGTTTTGCATGAACCAACAAATTGATTTTATATATTTCTTATTTCTCACGCTTTTCGACTACATTTTAATTTCTCATAATTTCATTAGATGGATCTTGTGGGTATGGTACCTTTGGAAAGAATGTCAACAATGGTGAAGTCACTGCTGTTTCTAAGCTTTATCGGAATGGAGGTGGTTGTGGAGCTTGCTATCAGGTAAGGCAATTTATTCGAAAAAAAATGAAAAATAAGTCCGTGCTTTATAATATCTCTTGGAGGCTACGTTTGGAGCTATTAGTGTCACAATTTTCTCCCATAAGCTCACGGGCAAAGCTAGGACTTTAAAGTCGTGGGGGGCAAATTTCACAAAATTTTAATTGTGGGAGCAAAATTGAAAACTAAAAGAATTTTTTTAAAAATTTTGTGCAAAATCTTGGAAATCCAATAGAAAAAACTCAATAGCGTGGGTGCAGCTGACCCCATTGTAAATCCGCCCATGCATAAGCTGATGCCTAACAATCAATGACTCAATTAGGTGAAGTGCAAAATCCAGAGAGAATGCAGTGAGGAGGGAGTGAAGGTCTTGGTAACGGATTATCGCGCGGGAGGCAGAGCAGACTTCATAATGAGCGAACGTGCCTACGAAAAATTGGCTCGACCCAACATGGCTGCAGAACTATCTGCAAATGGGGTAGTTGACGTTGAATACAGAAGAGTTCAATGTGGTCATGGTCGCAACCTTGAGCTAAGAATCCATGAGACTAGCCGTTACCCTTCCTACTTGGCCATGGTTCCTATATTCAGTGAGGGAATTTCTGATATCACTGGTATAGACATCGGAGTGGTATATCCTCTAACAAAACCTTTCCTTTTTCTATGTCACGAGCACCAAGTTTTTATGCCATCACGTTTTCCTATGTTTAAAAGCTAGTTAAGGTTTTGAACATGTTGGAAAATACTTTTAGTTTGAAAATTTTTGTTCAGAAGCTTACCTTTTTAGATGAATCATTCTAAAATTACTTATTTTGTCAAAACTAATTTCTAAAATTACTTATTTTACTAGCAAAAGACATAATTTCTAAAAAAGTAACTTTTTAAACACGATTAAATATTCTTTTCAATGGTCATTGATGTTGTACTCCGTTTCTGTTAATGAACAAAGGTTAATCACGATGAATGGAGGCCAATGCGCAGGGCATTTGGAACAGTATTCGGCATTACAAATCCACCCATGGGATCTCTTCGTGCTAGAGTTCACTATGCCAACCCGGATCAAGTTAGGACATCACAGTTAACCTTTGCCATCCCTAGGAATTGGAAGGTTGGAGTTGCATATGACACTGCATCTCAACATAATTAAGCTTCGAGCTACCACTTACACCTACTGTTTACCTTATGTTATATATATATATCAACTACTTGGTATGTCTAGTACTTACTTTATGTGTAACAAGTTAAAAATAAATGAGTGGGACTTGTGTTTACTCATGATGAAATAAAAATTTTCGAATATTTAGTTATTTAATACTACTCTTGTACAAATTTAATATTTTTTTTAGCTAAGTTTATGGGACATTAATCCCAATTTATTAACGTGTTAAAAGTCAAGTTTGTTGCATGTAAGAACCTCTCCAATAGTCTTTTTATTTTTAAAGAACATGTTATACCTAATAGAGAACATTTTTAAATTTAAACAATAAGATTTTCGATTCACTAAAACAAGCTCTTTATTTTACTTTTTCAAAATATATTTATTATTTTTCCACTTTTTTAATTAACATATATATTTTTAGATGTCAATGGCCAATAAATTCGAAAATAATAATCCAATAAATGAATAATCGAAATTTGCATTTTATTAAATGCAACCATTCTATTCATAGAAAACATCTTATGTATAATATAGAACATGTTTAAATTTAGAGAATTAATTTTTTTGTAAATTAATGTCCATGTCAGCAAGTTCGGTTAAGTTGTTTAAGGCCGCATTAACAGAGTGATTTAATTGCTATTAAATTGAAATTCAGTGACCTAATTGCAGTTGGACACAATGTTTAGTGACCACCAGTAAAATTAATAAATATACGGGAGGGAACTATGACCGTTAAAAAAAAAAAAAAAACCCCAATTCTTAAATTGAAAAAAAAGAAAAAAAAAAGAAAAAGAAAAAAAAACCTACATTTATCATTTGATACACAGACGCGTATTGAGAGAGCTTTACATTAATGGGAGAAGAGAAGGAAGACAAATTCGCATCATTGATGAAGTTCTGCAAGCCAACCCCTACCCAGGAATTGAAATTACTAACTTGCCTCTTTGCCCTTGAATCCGACACAGTTCATCCTCTCTGGATCCCACTTCATCCCAACCTACTGGAATCGTCATGGTTTCGCTACGTAATAGCAGCAGCTCTATTGACCAAAGTACATGTCACGATGATGAATTGGAATTTCATACACCTCCAGAGCAGCGTTTTACCTAGTCCGAAGGCCAAACCGTTGATTGTGCGGTGGGAGAGCCTACAGCCGTCGATCTTGGTAGTATGGGAGGCGACGTAGGGCGCGAATGACTTGGGTGAAGGGGATTCCGGAAGATGAGTCGTTGAATTGAAGAAGACTCGGGTTCCAGATAGGGGATTGAGTGAAAATTCTATGGAGA